CTAACGAGCCACAAAGATTTTCTCCGTTCTGCTCTTATAGAAATTTTCATGGCAGATAACCAAGAAAACGGAACAAGGGCGGCATGTGACTTCCCTAGTAACCTCATGAATACTATCAACGAGAGCTATGAAAGACTGGGAGATGATGTGACACCCACTTCCTCCCCCAGACGTGAGAGGTCGCCTTCCCATCATTGCAGCACAACGAAATCAAAAGGAAAATGGGCTTCCACGTCAACACGGGAAAAAGGACGCCACGTGCCATGAAGAGGCTCCTCAAAGCATGGTTTACCGATGCCTTAGTAATCGTGCTCAACAAACAAGCTCCATGTACGACTATTGAAACCACGAGAGCCCATACCGTATAGTGAGAAGACAAATAAGGTGATCAACCAAACCCTCTAATGCCAGGTATAACTCACAATGTTACTAACAGTGCAGGTGATGGCGTCCTCACCGCAATTTTGAGAAGAATGGAAGAATGGAAGAAATGGAGAATGAGAACAAAACGCTCAGATACCAGATGAAAGAACACTAAGAAGGAGTCGACAAAATACCAGGCGCCCGTATATTATCATCATTTATTGCTACTTAGATCACACCCATTCTGTCCTGCCATACAAAATCGGTTGACGCATCTTTTGGATATTAATATTGGCAAAGATTAACTCTATCTTACTAATTTTCACTTTGTTGATTACATGATTAAGCTTAATTTTGCTTGTCATCAATTGTCATACATCTCAAGTATTAGTAGGAGGTTTGCCTAGAAACAACCACCCTCGAAAGATTGCGTAATAACTCACTGATCGAGCGCTCTTGTGCGAAAGATGAATGGGGCTAAGCGATCCTGCCAAAGCTGTATGATGTCAAAATACATCAGCTAGGATATTTTACCACTCTTTCCAGTATTTTTCGAAAATACATCAATTAGGAATAGAGAATATATATCAAAGAAAAGTCTAACTGTTTAAATCAATTTTTCCATTGCTATTTAATACATTTTGGATATTCACATTAGTTAATTAGGTAAAAGTGCGAAAAGAGAGGGATTCGAACCTTTGGTAAACAGTAAAAAGGGATGCCTAGTGCACAAAGCATCCCGCGTTCACGCAGGATCTGGGAAGGGCCGTACCCTAGGAGAGTATAATGTAGGCAGTCTATCCTAATGCAATCATCAACAATTGTTTGGTTGTTGCTCCAAGGCTTCCCTTCTCGGTAAACAATAATATTCTCTTGATATTGACTTCTTGAATTGACAGAAGCCCACTCTTAGGATTAGGGGAAAGAAAACAAAATAGTATTTTGTATTCCATTATCAGCGGGTACTTCATGTTCCTTTCTGTCTACTTATCTTCAATGGACAAAAAGAGTATAGACTCTAGTATTCATCTATTATTGCAATAGTTAGCCTTCATGCTATTCTCCATCATGCTAGAATCAGTGATAGGCCATAAATCAGTATTCTCCATCGTGTGTTTTATGACTTGATCAGTATTTATATGTTATGGTGTGCTTCATTGTATTATGTAATAAAATTACTTTATATGATTTATGACACCTTCGTTTTTTATGTTTATATTGTTATCTTTATTATGTATACTTTACGTTTATATTTGTTATGTTAATTATTTTTACATATAAATATTTTATATTCATTACACAAATGGATTCTCACGATAAAGAAATAATAAAAATCTAAGAAGAAAACACATACTTTACCTAGATCAAGTCAGCTTCCTCCACCTACACCAAATATGAGCCCTCCTCATATGCCTCATCATCCTTCCATCCCAGCTTCACAGTCATCTGACTTTTTCAAAGTCTCTCCCCCATCTAGCTCGCTTCAGTATTACTCCATGCCTTCTTATGATGGCTCAGCTTCGACCGCCATAAATTTTATACCCACACCTCATTTTCCAGCTTTTTATCCCTGTGATCATGCTAGTTAGTTTGGTGGCTCACCACCGATTGTATTCCCGAGCCATCATGGTAGCCAGCATGGTGGTTCATCTTTTGTGACTCATACATCGCCCACTCAATTATCATCTCCATCATCATCCACTCCAAGTATATCGAACTTGGATATTGGAGGCTCTCACGCAGTTGCATCCCCATCTACCAGTACTTCTACAGTTTGTTGGTAGTATGAGACAGTATACTAGAGGGACTGTACAGTACAATCATCTTCATCGCTGATTATTATTCCCCATGGCGACGGATGAGTTTTCCTTCAATTTTCTTTTAAATTCTTTCAAAAAAAATTTACATATAATGAATTTAATGACATTTTATATGTTAAATTAAATATAGGTTTTGCCATCCTTTCAGGTGCACATATGGTGATGGAATCTGTGAAGCCATTTTTTCATAAGCCATGGAATTCCTGGAGACAGATACCGTACCAGATCAGAATGCATATGGGGCAAAAATTTAAGGTAAGAATAAATTAATTTTTATTAATACTTATACTCATCGTCTAATATTATTTATTCAATTTTGCAGGTTAGGAGCGTATGGCAGCCTACACATGAAAATCAGGTAAATGAGAACTTCGAGAAGAGAGTGAAGCAGATAACAGATTCACATCATGTTGCTTGGAGAGGTGGCACCAGGCCTGATTGGATATGTAAAGATATCTGGAGTCAGCTCTTGGCGAAGTAGAACACCCCTGAGTGGAAGAAGAAGAGTGAATAGGCAAAGTTAAGCAGAGCTTCTATTAAGGGTGGAGTGTCGCATACTGGAGGTTCTATTAGTTTTGAAGCGCATCATTTGAGAATGATAATTTTATTATAAAATATTCTTAGTTTTACAAGTATGCAAATTGAACATATATATATATATATATATATATATATA